GACCTCCGCCCGCGCTGCTCGCCTGCCGGTGCCCTTTAATCAGAGGCGCAAGGCCAACGGCAGCACACCTCCGGGCACTCGTTCCTGCCACCCAGGCTCCTTCTCATGAGATCCGGCCACGCGTCTGCGCCCGAGCTGGGGACAGCTGCCAGTCTCCTGCCCTCCTGGGAACGGGAGGGCAAAGCGGGGCCAGGGAGGGCTCAGTCTGAGGTGGCTGCAGCTGGAAGAGAGCCCTGAGCTGACAAGCCGGGCTCAGGAGCACGGTGGGAAGCAACACGCAGGGAACTCCAGCCCAGGACCCGGCCAGCTGGCTTTGGCACCGGCCCCGATGAGAAGGAGGCGCGGGGAGAAGTCTCACCAAGCTGGCGGAAGAGCAGGGCCACGCTGCAGCTGCTGACGGGAAGCGAGTCATTGATGGGTGTCTGGATCACCTGCCTGTCCCCCGCTCCCAGGGAGATCGTCCTCTGCAAGAGAAAACAGACCCAGTCACCGGGCGTCCACCCAAGCAAGGGGCGAGCACAGGCATCGAGGGCAAGCCAGCTGCCCGCTGCCTCTCCAAGCCAGCAGCAGCCCGAATCCCCCCGGTGCACAGGGCCAGGGCGACCGCGCCCTCAGCACAACACTCGTGCCCAACGGGGCAGCGTGTCCTGCCACGGCACGCCGCCTCACAGCAGCACGGCTGCTGCAGGGAGAGGGAAGAGGACCCTGCAACAACACACGTCACGTGCTGGGCTGGGGCCATGGGCTAAGGGGAGGAACGAGACCTGCCGAAACAGCCGGCAGTCCCAGCCAGCACAAGCAACTCCTCGACAGCTGGCAGAAGGAGGCAGCAAGCCCCAAGACCCGCACTGCGACGTAGCACGCGAGGGCTCTCCAGGACCTCGCAGCCAGAGGGGAACAGCTCGCCTGTGCCGTGCCCAGCCAGCGCCGCCAGGCAAAGGAGCAGCACCAGCACCGCAGCCTCTCCCATCGGACAGGGTGCCTCGTCCAGGCAGCGCACCCAGGCCCTGATGGCTCCTGGTGGAAGGGCTGGGGACGGACAGACTGGGCACACTCTCATTGCTTCTCCTCCAATACAATTTTTTCCCCAGACCTAAGCTCATTCCCAGTGGCCTACACACCCCCACCCTCTCTTCCAGGCTGCAGGGGCTGAAGCAGGACCAGATCCCTGCCCCTCTTCTCCTCTTTCTACAGCTCTCTAGGGAAAACGCTCCTCTGCAATAGCAGGTTTCGCCATGCGACCCACCTCCTCGCTCAGGCCCTGCAGCCGCAAGAGCTCACGCCACCCCAACAGCCCAGAAATCTGCTTCTGAAGGCCGCCGTCCTGGCAGAGCAGAACAAGCACCCCTGACCTGGTCTTCCACACCAGGCCACCATGTTTTCACAACCCCCAGGAGAGCGCGCTCACGGAGAGGCAAGCGGCGCACAGCCAGTCTGCTGCGGTGCAGGAAGGCAACCCCCTTCCCCGGAGCCCACGCACACGTTCCCTGCTGCCCGCCGGTGCAACGCACGCAGACGCACGCACACCCGAGGGTGCTCCGACCGAGACGAATGGTGCCTGGGCCTCCGCCGCTGCGCCGGCTGCAGCGTGCGGCACCCACAAAAACGATGAAAGAGAGGTTGCTAACGAGGAGACAGACCCAATGAAAGAAAAGGTGTGCGTACCGCTGCTTCGTCGTCCGCGTCAAGCTGAGATAGAGACAGACAGAGATAGCACAGTCAGTTAGAAACACACAGAGACAGCAAGACAACAGGGAAGACGAACACAGGCAGAGGCCAACAACAAGCAGGGACCAGCGCTCTCGGAGAGGAGAGATGCACACACACACAAAGCAAAAGCGATAGCTGCTACGCTGGAACAGAGCGCTTGGACACAGCAGAACGGGTAGAGCACAGGGGGGAGTGCCACCAACAAACTGTCCTCCCCGTAGCACACTACTTGTTCCCACAGCACAGAGCAATCCTGCAAGAACTGGGGGGTGACAAATAATTGTGCCAAAAAGCGCTGTTCAGCGAGCCACAGTGGCTTGAGGAGCCGCCCTGGTCCGAGC